CCCTACCCGATGTGGATGGCATCGAAAAGGAGCTTTATCTGGCCTTTGATGAGAACAACAATGGATTGATTCCCGTGCCCAAATTGTACTTCCGCGTGGTTATCGATCGCATCAGCAGAAAGGGTATTGTTCTCATTGGTGTGAACAATCCACATGCTGATCTGGAGCAAATCAAAAAGGAGTACATCATCTGCAATGACATTGGCCACCAGTTGAGTTGGGTCAGTTGGACCAAGGAGGATCTGAAGAAAGGATATTCCTATGCCTGCACTGTGGAAGACTTTACTTCTGTGGTTAAGGATCTGCCACTCGATGAGTTACACGTTGAAGGCGTGCTGGGCATTCAAGACTAGAGTTTTTAGATAAACAAAACGAATTTCGTAGTTTAAAACCAATAAAAAGAAATATTACCTAAACGCCAAGTTAATTTTGTGCCAGGAAAGCACCTCGAAAAAGGCTTTAAAGCACGTTTAAATTTAGTTGTTATGGGCCATAAACCTAAGAAATCACGTTTATTTTTTGTTCCTTTTTGATTTTATTGCATGTTGGACATATTGATAAGAGTCAGGTTATCAAATGCTGGGCTTTATCGTTTATGGTCGGCACACAGCTATTTATTTGCACTGCCATTGGGCTATTTGCTCACGTGCCGCACGTTTTCCAGTGCCGTTGGATTTTCCGCATGCTGTTTTCAGTGCCCCAAATCGCAGTCCCTTGGCCCGAATAGATGTCGCCATGGCAGTGACTTTCACATTACTTATCGACGCAGTGGGCTCACCTTGTATTGCTTGTGTGGTTGTTTTTGTTTATCTTATCGCTCCACAATATGAAGTATACGCCTGCTTGGTGAATGATTATAACAAAAGGCACAAAAGAGGAGAGATAGAACTCAACGCGCATGTCTTGATTTATATTTGTTGAGTAATCGCTCAAGTAACTACGATTGTTGCGGATTTAAAAAGTGTTAGATTACTATCTGACTTTGCTTCAATTAATCAGTGGTATCAACTATCAAGGCTAGCAATAAATACACTTTTATTTATGCCTTGACCTTCGTTAAGTTCAAAGACCGTTCAATGGTATAGTTTTAGTCTGTTAGCCTACTGCATTAACTTTAGTTCCCAAATATATTTATTTTGAATACCTCTGACAAATTAGCCATAACTCACAATTAGCAATATTTAATGAAATTTTATTAAAGTTGGAAAGAGCTAGCATATTATTGTTTATATTTTGGTGATTTAATTTGTCAAGTAACAATTATAAAAGCTTTTGAAGCATGACCAGGAGTGGTATAAATTTGGACGTTTTTTTCGTATAGAGTTTAGTTGATTTCACAACATTCAAACAAAATGAGGGGATTTTTTGGTATATATATAATACTAGCCACAGCATTCGTTGCACAGGGATACAGAAGTAAGTTAGTGAGTCATTTAAAAGGATAAATTCTACGAGAAATCCCCTACCGCTACAGAATTTGGTCTGAGCTGTGAGGATATAGTTTGTCAATCGGGCCAAAAGTGCGTCGTATCCAGACTTCCCTGCAGCGGTCCAGATCAACGAGAAGGAGAACAATGTGGATCTTATCCGGAGTGCCAAACAGGTTCGTGACAGACTATTATTCCACCTGATTTCGCCGTTCATTCACACTGAAATCTGGCTCTCTTAACTGATCCGTTCCAGATCAGCTGACCAGCGATTTCTCCATCGACACCACACTGACCATCGCCAACACGCGCAGTAACATCATCATACCCAGCACCAGCACCAGCACGAATCGCAATCGGACCTATAGGGATAATGACTTTGAGCTGCTGACCGACTTCAGCAATCCAGATAAATTTAACACACATGCAGGGCAACGGCAGGCCAATGTTTTGGTCGTTGTCCAGGATGGGTCTCAGCAACCACAACAACAACAGCCAAATCCCTGGCTGAATCGTGGACAAAGTCCTCCCTGTGCCGTCAGTCCGCTCTATCCGTATTCCTGTAATTATCCGGGATATGCTCCGACTTCTGGAGTGGGGTTACCTTCCTATCCACAGGCACGAGCCTCCAATGTGCCACAATTAGTTCCCCCAACTCCACCTTGCTATTACAACTGCATTCCCAGAGGGCGTTCAAGTCCATACGGCCAATATGGATATCCCCTGGCTAGAACAGCCAATCCCTCATCTACTAGCAACTATTTAATTTACCTCACATTAGCTGGCTAAAAATGTTTAAAAAATATTATTAGATTAAATGACAGAAATTACTTTACTGTTCAATCTTACTGAATATTTTGAACTTTAAACAAATGAATTTCATCAATCAACAAGAAAGAAAGCAAACTTCGGCAAGCCGAAGTTCATATACCCTTGCAGCTATCGCAAGAATTAAATATTTTTGAAAACATTAAAATTATGATTTACTTGCGTATATGTTTAAAAACATTGAAGCTATGACGATTTGCAGCTTAATTATTTGATTGTTCTTTTATATATTTTTATTATTTGTATGGGAGCTATATGCTATAGTCGTCCGATTTTGATGAAATTTAAACCATAATTCTGAAATATTTAACCATTACTATATGTCGAAGAACTAAAAAAAAATTAAAAAACAGCAAAGTTATAATTTTTTTCAATTATTTTTCCGATTGTTCCTATGGGAGCTATATGCTATAGTCGTCCGATTTTGATGAAATTTTAACCATAATTCTGAAATATTTAACCATTGCTATATGTCGAAGAACTAAACAAAAAATTAAAAAACAGCAAAGTTATAATTTTTTTTCAATTATTTTTCCGATTGTTCCTATGGGAGCTATATGCTATAGTCGTCCGATTTTGATGAAATTTTAACCATAATTCTGAAATATTTAACCATTGCTTTATGTCGAAGAACAAAGCAAAAAATTAAAAAACAGCAAAGTTATAATTTTTTTCAATTATTTTTCCGATTGTTCCTATGGGAGCTATATGCTATAGTCGTCCGATCCGGCTCGTTCCGACTTATATACTACCTGCAATAGAAAGACAACTTTTGGGAAAGTTTCATGCAGATAGCTTTAAAACTGAGAGACTAGTTTGCATATAAACGGACGGACAGACGGACAGACGGACAGACGGACGGACAGACGGACGGACAGACGGACGGACAGACGGACATGGCTAGATCGACTCTACTAGTGATGCTGATCAAGAATATATATACTTTATAGGGTCGGAAACGTCTCCTTCACTGCGTTGCAAACTTCTGACTGAAATTATAATACCCTCTGCAAGGGTATAAAAATTACGAATTAAAATAGCTAATACATTTATTGCAAAACCTTTTTGTCTGTTTGATCGCCAGCTCTGTACCGCTTTCGGCGATCGCCGCAAATGCCATATCAGCCTATGGGAATGCCAGCTCCAAGGCCACCGGGGTATCCACTACCACCACTCCCGTTTCCAATGCAGCAGCCGCGACAAACTATCCCTCAATATGTGATTCAACCTCAACCCAATCAACGATATGCGATCCGATATCCAGGACAACCCAAGCAAACTAATCCTCAACCCTTTTTCCCATTATGGACGACATATCCTTCGTATATGAACTTTAATAGGCGTTCTACTGGCCACCCCCCTCCCAAATCACTATACAGTCCCTATTTGCCCAGCTTTAATTCTTACCATTTAAATATTAATTTACCCTTTTCGGGGGGCTCCTCTTAAGACTTTTAATAAGTTTTATTTATCTTACAATATAAAAGCCCCTTTTCGCACAGCAATACACTTTCATTCCACTATTTCTGAATAATAAACTTTAAAGTTTTATCAAAAAAAATTGTCTACGATTTTTGTTCTGTCAATTTACCAGCTTCTTCGGGACAAATGAATGCAGATCTGGAGAAGGATTCTGGGACAGTACTTTTACAATTTCACAATCGTTCGGCTCATCAGATTCCTATGCCACCACCGATGCCTGTACCGATGCCAATGCCAGGACCAAGGCCAATTCCGGCTCCTGTTCCCATGAATGTACCAGTTCCGGGACGGGCCTATTATCCACCTTATATGGGACAGCCCATGCCGATGGGAAGACCCATGCCCATAATGCCAATAATGCCCCAGGCTGGTTCGGGTTTTCCGGTGAGAGGTGGTGGTATGGGTGGAACTAGCATTATTGTGGAACCTTTAGTTATCCTGCCAATGGGATTTGGTGCAGGAACAGGGAATGGGATGAATCCCAATCAATATTACGGGGCAAATGGCGCTTATCCAACTTATAACAACTATAATCCGTACAATGCGTACACCACTTCACGACCAAACTATGACTACAACAATTATAATAACAACAATAATAACTACAATAATAATAGTGGCAATAATAACAATTACAACGATTACAATTCATACGGTTAAAGCATTCGTGTACTGATAAATTGAAATAAAATGGGCACTGAAACTATTAATGTGAATGTTTAACTATAATTAGCATTATGTAACATGAAGTGTTGCAAAGGGGGGTATTTTATGTATAAAAGCGATGTGTTTGATTTGTAGTAGCTAATGCAACAAAAATGTCAATTATAATTGCTGATCATGATCATGTGAGATGTAAATAGCTTTTGGGGTGATCAGTATAAAATACAACGAACAACCATCTTAGCCTCGAATTAAATTACTTTATATTTACACCTCGCAAAGAAAGTTGATCCACAAAAACAAAGAACTTTAAGCAACCTAGACCTGAATTCATATACTCGTAACAGCGCCAAGAATTCGGAAGCACTTTTACGCAAATAAAAGAAATATAAAATATACAATAGCAGCAAAATGTCAATAGTATTATCACCGCATTATTCTCGCTGAGAGTTGAAAACAGAAATCAACAAATACAATGCTAAATCGAAAGAGACGCTGCTTGACGCTGCCAAGAGAAATTGAGAGAAGTGTACATCAAGAGTGCGAACTGAGAATATATAAACACCTGTTCGCCAAACAAATTATTCAGTTGGCGGCTAGAAAGCAACTTCGACGGTCGAGTTCCGAAAATGATGAGCCCATCGGTGCGACTTCAGTTTATAGGTCTGCTCTTGGCGATCGTGATTCTGAGAGAGATTGGGGCACGTGAAGCGATCACCTCCGTTCCAGATGTGGGTCAAATCATCAAAGATCTCGATGGACTGCATATCGATGGAGCTACAATTGAGCGAGGTAAGTGGATGTGCAGGCTAATTATAATATTTGTATCCAAAAAGCTTTAATTTAAGAGAGCCGATATCGCTTTCACTTAGTTGGTAAAGTTTATTATGGCTATACTTATTGTCAAATGCATAAAAAACTGCTGTTTATTTTTGTTTAGAAATTTAAATTCCACGAAATATAATCTAAAAATGAAATACCATCTGTTTCAATAAGCCAAAACTTCGAACTTAATGTAGGTAATAATATTAAAAGAAACTATTACATTGACTTGCACGAGTATTTGAGTTTAATAAACATTACATTAATAAACACTACAGAATTAACTTTTAATTAATTTTAATTTTTTTAAGGAAAAGATCTGTAGTTCTATGAAAGACTTTTGAAAGCTTGAAAGGCTTAAGTTAAATTTATATAATTAATAATAACTATTATTTTTTTCCATAAAAACATAGTCATGGATTTCGTTTAAGTACAACACGTTCAATAAAGTTTTATTTTATTTGCTTTGACTGTCTTCTTTTGGTCTTTATAATTGAAGCATGTAAACTAACAAATCATATATTTTTTGTAATGTTATTTAATGAATAATGTATTTACACATTTTTTAAACAACACTATTATCTTTTAAATACTGATAAGTTAACTTCTTTCAAAGACAATTAAGTCCCGGAAGCAGTTAATTAGCATAAACGAATTTTTCGCGACGCCAAAAAGTATGCCAATGCAATTCAGAGCCACACCTTAGCACTTCCATCCACTTTCAGGAGCCCCGTGTCGCGTGGACATGCAAAAGGACCTGCCCCGTCCGGACCAAGTGCAGCCGCTCTACCTCCGCCCCGGCACGGAACTCTACTGGCTGCCCAATGCTGATGGACAGCTGGAGATTCCCCGCGGCGCCAGCATCGAGCTGCACTGCAGCCATTCCTTCGCCGCGTCCTTGGACGCGGAACTGCGCTCGATTCGCGTGAAGTGTGTGCAGGACACAGCCTTCGAGTGGCAGGGGTCGAAAATCAAATTCCGCGATTTTGTATGCACTCGCTCCATTCCCTACACCGTGGAGCGATTGGACAGGCGTTGCGGGGACGCCACTTCGTCCTTGTATCGCGTGGGCTATGACACCGGAGATGGCCGATTTGTGGCCACCATGGAACTGTGCCACGACCCCCAACACCTGCGCACCCACTACGCCCGCCACCAGCTGACACCGGCCAGTGTGCACTTCCAGAAGAACGTGAAACGCCTGAAGTTCAGCGCCGCCGGCCACTTTACGGGCTTTGACATGGCCAGAATTTACTCGCACAAGAGCCAGGAGAAACTGGGTGTGGCGCCCGGACTGATAGACGTGAAGAGTGGCCTCTTCCTGGCCCGAGGGCATCTGGCAGCCAAGGCGGACCTGATCTATGCCAGCCAGCAGAGGAGCAGCTTCAACTACGTGAATGTGGCCCCCCAGTGGCAGAGCTTCAATGGCGGTCAGTGGGCCGTCCTGGAGGACTCCACGCGTCGCTATGTGGCCAGCTCCGGGATCTCGGCCACCGTGTATACGGGCACGTATGGCGAGATGAAGGTGGCCGGCAGCAAAAGCCTCCACCTGACCACCGATGGCAATAATAATGGGCTGGTCACCGTTCCCCAGCTCTTCTACCGCGTCCTCGTCGACAATGGAAGCCCAACCCGCGGAATCGCTTTGCTGGGCGTCAACAATCCACATGCCACACTCGCCCAGATCCACGAGTCCTATATCATCTGCGATCCCGTCGAGGACGAGGTGCCATGGCTGAGCTGGCTACACAAAAGCAACGCCAAGGGTAACCTGAAGAAGGGCTATCTGTATGCCTGCTCTGTGGCGGATTTGGCCCGGGTTGTCCAACAGCTGCCACGCCCCCTTCTACAGGTGGACGAGCTGCTCACTTAGATGCGGGCGGTAGGTGTTTAGTTTATAGTTTGCCTGAGTGCAATAAAGACTGAGTGGATTGTGTGTCACAAGTTTGCAGTGTTTAATTGGAAACAGGCTTTCACATTGATTAGAAATTTATTTTTGTTTTGTTGTATTTATTCAATGGGCATTTAATACAAATTACTCGTACAACATTAACTTTTCCTAATATTTATCGCCCTTTTATTTAGTTCAGCTTAAAATGCGAAAGCAGTTATGCCAGCTGTTAAATATTTTCATTTTATTTCTTGTGGAGTTTACTTGTAAGAAGTACTGGCTTTTACAAAAGTTTTCTCAGTGAATTCAAAATAAAATGAATAGAATGTTTAAGGAGAAATTTAATTATTAAATATAATGGAAATAAATAGGGGAAAAAAGTTAATTTCTATTTTAAGTGAACAAAGTCCTTTTGTTGTCTTTATTCAAATTTTTGTGAAATTTTAAAACGTTATTCTCTTAATAACTTAATGCCTTACAAAAGCCTTTAATTTAGATCTTCTGTTTCGTATTTTATTTATTTTTTTAAGATAACCAACTATCAAAAAACATATAAATATAATATATATTAAATATCATGCTTTACAAAAGCCTTTAATTAAGATGTTCCGTTTAATAAAAAATTATATTTTATTTGTTTTTTAAAGTGCCAAATATATATATATTATAATTTTAATAGCTTAATACTTTGAACTTTTGACTATCGTGCTTAAGACAGCCTTTAATTCAGAAGTTCTGTTTTAAATAAATCGTTAACAAAACCGCCCTCAGATTTAATAAATCTAACAAGTTAATTTCCTTGAAGGAGTCGTCCCTTTTGATTCTTTTGTGCCAGTTTTCTGTGTGCTCAGATTATTAACGCTCGTGTGAGCTTAACGCCATCAAAATCAAATGGGACATCGTGTGTGGTCATGTTGGGGGCGGGGCCACACCCACTCAGGGGAGGGTGTGTGAGCGGGCTTTCGAATCGGAAATGCTACCCTCGTTATGCGTTTGCCTTGTTGGCGGTAGCGCAAAATCGCTGGAAGAAACGAGCATATCAAATACGGCTCGGCAGCATTACCTTCATGCCGCTCACAAAACACAATTTGTTCCACAACATTGATTTAATCCTTTTTCTTCTGGGCCACGCACACACACAATCAAACACATACACAATCACACACACACACACAGAGACACGTAAAACGCACAATACACGACACAAAAAGGCTGTCGTGAAGAATTTTCTTAAATTTTCCGCTGGGTTTTTTTTATAGCATTTCCCGACGTGGAGCTGTGTCCTTGGCATTATCATGAATATTTTCCCTTTCCACTTTTCCCTCTCGATACATTTCCATTTGCTGATTTGAAGCGCACTTTCCTCTTTGCTCCCCTGCTCCCTACCGCTTTTCCGTTTTTTCCGATTTCCCGTTTTCCGCTCGCTTAGTTCAGACTCGGCATTTCGAAAGGGGAAAGTCGAAATTATGTTTTTATGCTAGGTTGTGCGGTAAGCAATATTTGCTCAAGTATCCATTACAGACTTTTGGACAGTAATCATCAAATGGGGCACACAATGTTCGGTAATTTTTGGCCTGGGACTCAAATTATAGGCAATGCCATATGTTTTAAGACACAATATCCACAAGGCGCATGTTGGAAATGTACTAATTAGGCTTTGGTATAATTTCTATAAATAAAGAAGGCGTATAAAGCTCAACTTTAAAAATTCTATTGTTTTGTTCAATTTCGAAATCCCATAATTCTGGAACCAAAAAAGTAAAAAGTATTTAAGAAATTGCCCTTTTTATTTCACCACCCATTCCCATTATCAATTTATATTTCAAAAAAAATTTTAAAAACCACTTAATTTCCCAGAATCAAAACAATTAAAAAACTTATTTCTATGCAAATTAACTCCCTCTCAAAGAAAGCAATGTAAACTTCAAGCTTTACTCACATTCCCTGTAAATTGAATGTTTTTTTTTGCTAGCTGCCAAACAATTGTATTCCGCTTAAGGATACGGAATGAAGTGCAGCACGATGTCAAAAGTCCAGGCGACTTTTCTTTAGTGGCAATAACATTCCCTTAAAATTTGGAATAAAAAAAAGAATTCAACAAATTGCTTTGTTGTTGTTTGTCTTGTTTATTTCGCTGACTTGATGAAAGTTTATCTTTTCCATGGCGATTGTGAGCTGGCGGCCAAAAAGGAGCAGCAAGGATACAACCGACCAACGGAAAAAAGTCGAATAATTGAACGCACTTCACGCAGATGTTGTCGGGATTCTTTTTTATGTCGCTGCCCGTGGTGGCTGCCAGAAGGATATGTTCTGTCCTGTGGCCTCCAGCGGAAATTATAATTTATATTTGGGTTTTCGCTCGGCCTCTGCGTTTATTTTAATATCGCCACCTCTTGGTTGGCGGCCAGCTCCAGCCGCCTCTTCTTTTATTTTGATTAAAATGCATATTAAATATTTGGCAAGCAAACAAAATAATAAAAACAACAGAAATGTATCAAATAAAATGATACACATAAAAAATATAAAATAAATAATTTCCTGCTACCGTCTGAATTTATTTCCCACTGTGGGTCTTGCTTCCTTCCGTCCTGGCGATAAACTATGTATATACATACCCTACATACATGTATATTGAGCTACGACCTGACCCAAACTTGCTGCAAATCCTTCGCTGCGCATGCAAGGGCATAAAAATATAAACATACAATGAAAATGTTCCCATGTTTTTCGGGTTTATTTACATGTGCGTGAAGGCAGATGGGATTGGGGACAAAGGTCCTACAGGACCTTACAGGAAGCTGTAAACGTTTTGATTTACATTGGAAATTGAGGTTTCTTTGACCGCCCTTATTTGGGCCTTTGTTTCTTTAATCGACCTGTGATAAGGGGCGGCCAAGTTTATGTTAGATTAATGCATACATAAATAAATAGCAATGATTTAAGCTGCTTTATTGGATTTATTATAGAAAACTTTCTTTCTTTCTTTCCTTGCCTGCAAACATTACTTGCCTAAAGTCCTTGCGTTTCAATTGGATTTTACATCCTCAATTTGAGCAACAATTTTGTTCATTTTGTCCAGCTTTGCTTTGGTCTTTGCATAAAAAGCGAAACAACAAGCAGAAGTGAATAAAATACGTGCACACAATTCAAATGAAATAAGAGGAAAATATGAAAATTGGAGGATGCAGGAATGCAGAGTGAAAAGCGAAATGCGAGGCGACGAGATGAAGATGGAGAGGAAATTCCGTTTCATTTTGCTGGAAATTACGGTGGGGAATGTGCCCAGCAAGACAAGACGACGATGACATCCAATATCCTTATTGTTGGCCAGCGGAATTTATGGCTAACAATGTCGTTAAGTAGGCTAAAGTGTGTGGCTTGCAGTGAAGACTGCAACTGAAAGTGAGTGGAAAATGGCCAAATCAGGGTCGTTCCAAGTCATCGCAACTCGAAGCTAATGAGGTCATCAACGTCCCCCTCCACTCCGGCCACAAAATCACGGTCCCATCCACATCCGCATCCGCATCCGTAACTACATCACCGTCGTGGCTGCGAAATTGAATTTTGAGTACTGCCAAACTGCGGCCAGGTAGGGCCCTGATTGAGGTGTTTGATTAATGGGACTGGGCCCTGTCCCGTCCATAGGCCAGTTCCGAAACTTGTTCGTCGGTCACCCACTACGTGCTGGTTAACCTGGGATCTGATTTCCATTCTAATTACAGGAGGAGAAATGCACTCCCGGTTGCAGCAATTTGGAGCAGTAGCTTCAGCTTCCTTTAAATCAGTTCCCCTTGGTTTGCTCGTTAAAAATAATATTTAGAACTTCATGATCATAACTATAAAACAAGGATGACTTTTTAGAAAAAGTTTTTACTCAAAATTCACTAAAATTATTTACCTTACCAAGCTATAGCCTTATTTTGGTTAATCTTGGCTTGCTCGTTAAAACTATTTAAAGACTTCAAGTTAAAAATATTTTAGGACTTTTATACAATCACTATGAGACAAGGCAGACTTTTTATTCAAAATTTCCAAAAACTATTTCTTTACCTAACCACAAACTTGAAAATATATAAACTTTTTCTGTACATTACGGGTGCAATAAATTTTAACAGTAGCTTTTGCTTCCAAAAGTTTAATACAATCTGTTTTGAACTTTCGATTATCTCACTGAAAATACTTATTAGACCAAAATGCATCCAATAAAACTTAAAGAGCATTTTATCTTACCCAGAATTCTTAAAAACTATTACTCTCACCTAGAAATGAATTGTGAACTTTATATGCCCTGGTTTTTTATATTGTAAGTTGTACGTCTATCACATATAACCCACATCGGTATATATGTTTTTAACTTACGTTGGTAATCATAAATTAGTGCATTTCCATCATTGGATTCAAGATGGTAGAAAAATAGAACCTACCTTTGCCTAAAATTCTTTTATTCTCTTGTTTATGGTTTGACTTTAAAGGCTGGGCCACCCGACCGAAAGACGCCAGAGGATCAGGAAGAGGAGCAGGAACCGGAAGAGGATGGGCAGATAAATTGGTTTCTGGTATAAGGGCATAAAGGCATAAAACCATTACAAGCCAGCTCACACACACACACACACACACACACAGGAAAGGTGCCCAAGACAAGCTGTGAGCCTGAATTTGAATATGTGCAAATATTTATGAATACCTCCATCTGAAAACATTTCATAACCCTAACCATAAAAAGCAACGATAATTTCATCCTTTACTGGCTGTCGTCGCCAGGTGAGATCAAAGGGTTTGCCATTGTTGTCGGCAGTAAAGTGAATGTTTATGGATTCGCTTAAATAGTGAGTCTAATTAAATAAGAGCAACGAAATAAAAGCGGTACACGTTCGTAATTTTAGGTTGAATTTAGCGGAAACAACGTGGAAAGGCAAATTAATATGACAAAGCCACATTTTGTACAACGAACTAGTGAAGTTCTCTAAAAAAAAATGAACGAATATTTACTGTTGGAAAAAAAGAGGTAAATGGCCTTTCTATGTGTTTTAATTAAATAAAACAATGTTGCAGTTTTAGAAGTAACAATGACCATTTCTATTTAACAATACTCTAAAGCACGAAAATATTTGCTTAGCTATAAACTTTATTTCACCCTGTGGCAAGGCATAAAGAGTCATGTTCAAGTGAAATGATTGCGGGCAATCAAGTGGGACGAAGGAACACAGGTAAAAACAGCGTAAAACACGGACTGCTAAAATATGTAACAAGCCGCAGAGCCGCACTCAGTTTTCCACCGTGTTCGAGGAGCATTCGGAGCGGAGCTGCGCTTTTTATCATCTTTCGGGCCCGCCCCAAAAGTCCCGCCGTCTTGGCCACAATTGGCATGTCGGTTTGTGGTTGCAGCCTGCAGCCATGAGGGCCACAAAAATGCGGTAAAAAGATTACCAAAAGCGAGCGTGCTGCACAAGACGGCGAAACGAGCTGCGAAGAGGTGACTTGCAGACGACTTTGCCATGCAAACCAAATTGTTATCATTCAGTTTCATTGTGGTGCTCCAGCAAGTGGAGAACTTTAAGGCTTGAGAGCTCTAGGTAATTTGCATTTGAATCAGTGAGATGGCCAACTCTGTGTAGTTGGCGAAAAGGGTGTGTCTTCAACTCACTGTCAGCTTTTCAATCTAAGTAAACCTTGAATTACCTTGTATAATTTTAAAAATATACACTGGCTTACGCCAAGGATTAAATCTTTTTCAAAATGTTTATAGAGCATTTGCTTGTGAAGTACTTGAAAATGACTTGCTTAGCTTTGAATAAATATTTAAAAATATCCAAGGAAGGTATACTGACTATAAATATATAATAGAATGTAATTGATTAAGTTTCATGAAATATTAAATGACTTTGCATAGTCCAGTTAATTCCGGAAAATTAATGAAATGCCTATAATTGATTTGTTTGTTGCTGGCCATCGGATTAACCCAAAAATGTGCGGCAATAAAATGCCATTCATCTGATTATTCGGTGGGCACAATCAGGAATTTTAAAGGCGGCCCGGAATGATTTACACTTTACGGTTCAATGAACTGGCCACAATTGAATGACTAAGGGAGGGGAGTCCTGAGTTGCCGAAGTGACAAAATACGAGAAGCGTTTGCCCGAGACACTTCAAGTGTAAATTTGATGGCCTCGAGGCGTCCGTACAAGTGCAATCAATGATAAATCTCCACGCAACAATGCGAATAGAAAACTATATATAGGCCAAGCCACATATAGGCAAACAATATATAAATCTATGTAGGATGTGGGAGCGGTGCTTTCGCCCCCCAGTTTTATCGCTTTCGTTACTGAAAATCAATTGAATTGAGGCGCTCACAAAGCAGAATCGAATGGATACGTTTGCCGAGGCAATCACAATGAACGGATATAGGAAGTGAAAGCTCCGGCTACCGGGGGCAGCAAACACCCTACAATGTCGGTCATTAGGACGCTTTAAGCAGAACTGTATAGCCCTTACAAAGTGTGCGAATATGCTTTCCACTCTCACTCCGACAGCTTATCGTTCAACTGACAAATTGCCGGCCAGACAACGACTTCTGATGCCGCCAAATCCCCTCTGGAGCAGACTTTAATTCTCAATGAAGTCCAAGTGAAATGAAAAAAAAAACACGAAAACCCAGAAACATGAGAGCAAAAATGTATTTCAATCTATTTGGCACAGTCTATAGGTGGCGACTGCTGGCCAGCAAAGATTTATGGGCCGCCTCTCGTTAAATGCCCTGTCAGGAGACAACAAACAAAAAGGGTTTAACTGATGGCTGGGATATGGATATTTTTACTGAAAAGGGTGAAAGCAACAGTTGAATTATTCAGGCGAATTCGAAATGGAAATTTAAACTGTAGCACTTCAGGTCGAGGAAAATAGATTTTTTTTAAATATGATAATTAAAAAAGCTTTTAGGGTAACTAAATTGGTCTGTTCCGTTTTCAGTATTTTTTTATTGATTTTAATTAATTTGTTAATTTAAAAATGTATCATTAAGGTTTGTATACTTTTACTGAAATGACGATGAGCTGTTTTTTTTTTTTATTGAGAATTAAGAAACTTCGATGGTGTCTGGAAAATGGTATATTGTTTATCTAGTAAGTTATGTATACAAAATTTTTGAAGGAATTTCTTGAATCTTTTATTTTTTAAGTAATTATAATAAGGAAAGAGAACTCAAAGGATCAAAATGGACTTGAAATAATCCACTTTATTTGCCAGTTGTAAAAAGGGACTGTGCTGCCATTTGCCGAACACGAAATCTCACGAATAATGTGTATGTGACAAGAATATAAATTCATATTACAGCAACTGTGAGTGCAAATGCAGCCAGGTCCACGCCCATTCCCGCCGGGGGCGGAAGTATAACGAGCTGGAGTTCCCTTCCCCGCCTTTCTCCCTTTCTCTTCCCCAAAAATGAGACTCTAATGTGACATTTATAAGTGCCGGGCGACGGATGGGCGACGCGGCATGTGCCACACTGACGAGCTACGAGAATTACAAAGTGCATTTTTCATCATTCTCCCAGAAGGGCGAACAACTTGCACAATTATTTTTGAAATACTCATATCATGTTCTTGCTTTGGCACTTAAGTATGCGAAACTTGCGACATATTTTAAAAGTTCTTTGGAGGAGCCAAATGTTATGAGCAAAAGCAAAATCTCAAGAAAATTAGGCTCAGCCCAAGCAAAATGTTTTACCTTGTATAGCTCAAGATACCAAATTAAAAATTTATCAATTACTTATTGTTTAAAATGCAACTTTAACTTCTCTAGTTGTTTCGTGCCTTACATCAATGAGAACATTTTAGTAAATTCTTATATTAATATTTACTATTTATCTACTACCAATGCCATCGAATCAGCTGCTTCAGTGTTATGAAGTCTAATGGCATCGTTTACAAATTTTATATCGACATTACCGACTGCTATTCGAAGGAGTTTCATGTTTCTACAGCTTGCAATGATTGGCAGTAGTGAGATTGAAATATCCAATGGTCGGTACACGGAGAGGCAGAGTTCCTCTAGATTAGCTAGACTGGCCAACATCTCCACGCAATCAGTCGTTGAGCAGTAGCACTTTAGGTTCCTTAAGCTCTGGATACGCACCAACTGGCTGGTCTCCTGCAGAGTAAGACTGCCTCCATCGATGGACAGGTGCGTCAACTGTGATTTGACTGCCAAAGCCGAAAGAAGTGGCTCAAAGGAGCCGCTCCTGCGAACTCCGGAATACGAGAGCTCCTTGAGTTTCGGAAGCCTAGCCAGTGGAATGTATTCCGAAGACTTTGCAGTCATGCCGAACTTTAGAACCTCCAAATTCTTGCAGTGGGGCACCATGTCTCTTAAATTCTTCTGCACACAACCATAGCCCAAGTGAAGGATGCGAAGATTGCCATTGGATTTGCAGCATTTCACCAGAATTGGAGTGGGAATTTTTGGTATGAGGAGCTGCAGGCTTTCGAGGTGCTGAAGTTGAGCCAGTCGATCCACAATGCAGTCTGCAAAACCACGAAATATTGTAAACTTTAATTTTGGAGGCTGAACAAACAATTAGATAAAAAAGACAATATAGTTTACATGTTCTTTAATAAAACAAATACATCTTTTATGGTCTTCAAAATAATATTATTAATTGCTAACTTGAATTACATATATTATACTATTAATTCACTGATTACTTTAATATATATCTTATTTTAGGGAAATGCCGACCACAATAAAAGGATTTTTATATATTTTTTTCGGTGTAGCATCATATAATTGTTTGCTATTTAATCACAATGAAAATAAAGAGACTACAGATTTACATTTAAAGAAAGTATAAAACCCTCGTAATACATTATATTGTTCCTTACCGTCTTTTGCATGAATTTCCAATCTTTTCAGTTCTGGCAAATGCCTTACGGCAGTCAGAATTTGATCGAAGGGCTTGACAATGGGTGTGATTAGCATATACAGCTGATTTATAACCAACTTCTCTAGGCTTGTCATGCCGGTCAAAGTCTGGTAGAGAATTTCGAAACAGTTTACCGGGGCTACACATCCATAGGTTCTGTAGCACCTGGCGGTATCAAAGTGATCCAGATCGATGGTTAATGACTCTACCGCTTCCCGACAGATGCAAAATTGTATCAGCTCTGGATTCGAACTGTCTTTATCGAGGGTAAATTCCCGGTATTTACTACTGTACTGCTTGATGAAAACCTGACGAAATCTCCGGCATACTTGTGCGAAAGTAAGACGGTCATCGGGGGACAAATATTCAAATATATGGTATAGGCAGTCCACATAGAGATCTTCGATACTTGTGGCACTCATTTCCAACGCGGTCGAAATAAAACTGAAACTAAAATCCCCATTCTAATCGAACGCAACCCAAAGATACGTCGTTGCTTATTGTTATGAGTAATACTGCGTTGTTTTCGCTGAGATAAGATACGTACTAGCTAGCAATTGGCTGGCAAACCAGTTTGCCGGCTTTGTTCGTAGCTGACCTAACGCAAAATGTGCATTGTTTATGAAATAAAAAGCTCTAACAGCTGATTCAAAAGTTTATAGAAAGAGCTTCAGCAAAATGCAACAAATTTTCTTGACTGGTTCTGACCGAGTTTGTGTTGGAACTGTTTCGGAATTCAGTAATCTTTTCTTTGGTATTTTGTAATTAATAATATAATATTAATAATATTTAAAAATACAAATTTAAGAAACACATATTATATGTATTTATAATAACAAAATATTTGTTAGGGCAGTATTTTCGATTCAAAATGACATTCTGCGGCGTGTACCTCGGAGACTGTTACTTTCTCTTATACTCGGTGAGAAGAGAACGGAAAAACTGTCGTCCAGGTGCTAGCACACCCAAACCATTATAAAAAGCTTATAATTGAATTTTTTATAATGTGCTGCGATGTTAAAACGCCTTACCTTTAGTAAGCGTGGATGCCATGGCCTTGCCCACATCCTGGCCCCACTTTTTTTACCGAGCTTGGGTCATAAAGTGCCAGCACTGGAGGAGCTCGAGCTGGAACATTTAATAGTTGGGCCCATAAATTCGCATGCTCTATGATACAATTAGGGGAAATGTTCGGGCTATTGGTTTCTGGTACATCGCTGATAGCCGTTTCGAGGTTTTCCCTTGTCTTGCCTTTTTATTGGTTACTTTCAGGAAATTTGACGCAAATTGGGAGCATTAAATTCGGCTGGTTAAATGGAGGGAAATGAGTAAAGGATAAACGACGGTAGATTCATTACAGTCAGTATTTATTAGCAATTGAGGATGCTTGCATTTTGCATCCGTGTTTTTTCATGTGCTCGTTAGCAGATAGCTTTTTGTGTCTGACATGGTTTTGATTTTTACTTACCCACAAGGATTGATGTTAGTTTGCGCTCCAATGGTCTGCCTGTCATCGCTTGTCGCCCTTCCAAAAATGTGTGTAATTTAATCAGACGGACGCCAAAGAAATCAAGTAGGCCTAATGTGCGAAAAGATGACAGGCGATGTGTTTTGGTAGTCCCAGCCGCAGGCCAGGACCTCTGATATCGTATTATGTTTTATCCTTCTTTTATCCGTTTGTGTTGTCTCGGCTGGCAAATGAGAAGACGACATTTGCATAAGTAAGAAAGTGTGAAAGTGAGCAGAGGCTCGTATTCGAATCCCTGTGTTTGCCTCTGTTTTTCTGTTTCCCCGTAAGCTGTTTTTGCGCTTTTTGACAAATGACTTAAAGCCTTTTGGGGCATCCAACGGGCTATGAAAAGGGTTCAAGTAATTTGTTGAGACTCTTGAATATTGAATGCGAATGTGGACCACGTGCAGGGACTCAGCCGAATAAAAATGAAATATCTTTTTAGCGAGGCAGCAAACAAACTGAAAAAGAAAGGCATTAACCGCCATGTCACAAAATGCTTTATGTTATGTCCGAAGTTGGTGAAATAAGATGCTTTATGGAATGTTTGCAATGCGCAACATCATCAAACACCCTTGAACATCAAATGACCTAGAGGGGGTGAATATAAGTGGTAATTCAGATTCAAACATGTAAAAAAAACTACTTATTCTTAAGCTAACTGGTGTATAACGATTTAAAGTTGTCAAAATGGAATGACAACTTAAGGCGATTAATATTATAGTTACTTCAAAAGCTAAAAAATAATACAACGTTTTTTCAGCTTCTGAAAGAAATTCTTCTTAAACATAATATGTTAAATGTGAAAAGTACAGATGGTACGAAAACGCTTAGTCCGAATAAACGCACATCTGTCTTTCATGTGCGTGATGAAAATCTCCCAAATATGAGTTCAGATTGGCTTATTCGCAATGCCTGTGCCCGGTTCCATTTCGGCTTTATTGCACCAAGCTGCGAGGATGTGGATGTGAATGTGGATGTCCACCCAAGAAAGTGGAGGAGGTGTGCGTTTAATCCGGAAACTTATTTATGTATGCCTTTCCGGTCGTTTCCTTGCCCAACGCATTTCTCGCATGTGTAAGTTCGTTTATTGTCGCACAGACAATCGCACAAACAAGAGTGTTTTGGATGTCTGGGGGGAATGGAGGGGTTTTATTGGGAGTGGAAGTGGGTGGCTGCCATTCTTATGACACGCCCGCGCACACTTTCACTTTACATAAGCTCTGTGGCCGGGGGTCCTTCGAAGGGACGAACGAAGCCGAAGCTTCAGCAGGACATCCAGGCGCGTGTGTGCTTGTGTTGACAACACTTGATAATTCCCTGCATACACGCACTTGGACTGCAAGACACTATTATCCAATGCCATCGCATACACATGTATTCACAGGATACTATACTTCCATTTATGTGTGTGTGCTTTCTGTCCTTCGGCATCTGGAAGTTTCTTGTCTGCGCCTTTGAATTATTTAAAATTGTTTTCTCGCCGCACTCCAAAGAGCGTGCCTTGATATAAATTCATAATGGGGGGCAGAGGGGCAGATCGATGGAATTATTTGTCCTGGTCAATAAATTTTGATTTACAATATGGCTTTCGGGTTCTCGTTTAGCTTTTAATCGTGCTCCGGGTTAAGTGAGCCAACTTAATGGCATATTGCTTCGGCCTTGATTCTTATCTGAGCCCCTGAGCATATTTTAAATATTTTACGCATTTTTCTATTAAAGTTATTTCACACAATTTCAGTGAAGACCACAAAAATTCTTTGATACTTTATAATTTGTAGTAATTTACTGAAAACTATTCTTTTAGGTCGTTAAGAAGACGAAAAAATTCCTTGCAGTATTTAATATTAATTTAATAAAATATTTATGTTATGTTAAAATGGTGTTATGTCCAATAATTACATTCACATATTTTCTTAAAAATTTGGTATGTTTAAACTAAGACATTTTGTTTTTGTTTTTCTGAATCAATAAGAACATATACACAACCTTTTCTTTTTATTTGGTAGTTTTTATTTATTCAACTAAATCTTTTGTCTCCGATCGTTAGAAAGCATTACAAATTTTTATAATATTTAATATTTAGTATTTAGAGTTTGTTAAAAATAACAAACACTCTTTCCCTAATACAAATTTTGTAAATTTAAAATGGGAATTGTATTTATTGTTTTTCTGACTTTATATGAACTTGTGAACATAAAGCATTTTATACATAATATGTATTTTTTTTTTAAATATATAAAATTTGGACAACAGTTTATTTCATTTACATACAGTGTGACAGAATTTAAATGATTGTAGTTTGAGGGTCTGCAAAAACAATTAGATTTACCATTTAATAGCCAGGACATGCCTATTTATCTGAGCAGTGACATTGACTTGTCGATTGGTTTGGTTTTGCTCTAGTCGATGCTTCGACCCCGTGCTGGGTTAATTTAATTATCGCGAAAGGCAAAGATTTTACTTGCTGCTCCTCGAGCTCGCGGCGCGTTAAAAAGTTTTACAACTGCGGCTGGCGGAGACCTTCGTGGAAAAGCTGAGGTAAAAGGAAAATGCCAGGCAGTCAGGCCATAGATCAAAGTACGCCCGCTGAGCACGGCTTTTCCGCTTTTCGTTCATGTATTCGTATTTGTGTTTCCTATGCGTGTTGCCTGTCAGCAGGTGTGTGTGTGTAGGTGTGCGCTGAGCCTTCTCGGTTTTATATAAAGTAGGTCAGTAGTAGTGCCATGCCAATAAAAGTTAATGCTTCCAGGTGAGAGCCTGTATGGGATGTGTGTGTTCTGGCCTGTTGGTATTTTTTAATATTTATAGAATTTTAAAATGCCACTTAAGTGTAGGTATTAAACATTTAAATTCGAAAACCAGTCGAAAAAGTTTTTCAGCACGCTTTAAGTCCCTTGTTTTCACAGTTTATTTATCGCAGGCCATAACAATTAAAAATTCACACTAAATCTACAACATGTTGAAATCGGAGCTATTTCTTTACTTTAAAAGGTCTAGCCTTTTCCCCATTTTTCTAACGAATTCAAACCTCACTGCACTTTATCTTTATTATTCATATCACTTTTTTTATCTTATCTGCCATTAGAAAAAAATTGCTGGCTAAATAATCATGTGCAATTGTTACTCATTTGTTGTAGTGCAATGATCCGTAATGGACACGATTGGAATTTTGCAACTAAACGATTATTGCCTCGAAAATATATTGCAATTTCTAGACATGCAGGGGCAAATCAGTTTCGCCCAAACCTGTTCCAGATTCCGAGATGTTTTTTTTGTCTGGTCGCGACGTGACTATGCAAATGTTGCTATTCTTGGTGATGTTGAGCCCTGGGAATTAACTTTACTCAGTCTTGTTTCTATGAGCGTAAGGGAACTGAAACTGATTGTTGATGATCTGGTTAGTTCAACAATGAAAAACAAAAGTGATATTTTTAAATTCTGCAACATGATCCAAGGCATGATAAACCTCGCGAGCATCAAGATATGGCAGATTAATCCACACCCGATCACTAAATTTTTACTGAGGGCACTGCAGGATTTACCCAATTTAAGGCAAATGCATTTTTGCTCTCCAAGTAAGTCTAAAATGTGCAATAACAACGATATTTCTAACCAATCTTTTATCTAAAGAACTAGAGGACTTTGGGAAATTGCATCGCCTAGAGTTAATATCCATAGACGTGAACATGCCTTCTAGACTAATGCTACGGTACTGCCGGTCTCTAAAAAATTTGAGAACTCTTCATCTCTCTGAGAAAGTGAGCAGCTCAAATCTTATTAACATAATAGAGCTATTGCCGTATCTACATGAACTGAGTTTCTACATACATCGCTTCAGTAGTTCAAAACTGTTACCCTGCTATTCAGAACAAAGGAACTCTCTGGTAACGATTCTCGATTTCCTGGCTCACAAAAGAACTTTGAATGTCCTTAGAATCAAGGGAAATATAATTACTTCTAATGAGGCTGAATCCCTGTCCAATATCAACTCACTAAGGGCCCTGGATTGCAGCTTCGCCAATGCCGACTTGGTAATATATCTGGCACAGCTCACCTCCCTGCAGATTTTGCGCATAACGTACCTCCAGCCCATAGATATATCTTCAACATACCTCAAAGTGATTCGACAGTGCAAGGATCTGCAATTTTTACGCATCTTCGACTACAACATCAATCCGGACTTCGTTGGGAGAGTCGCCGAGGTATTGAAAGATATGGAGTCAAAAAACACTTTAGAGCTATTAATCCACGCCCGTCATGGCTCACTAACGTTAAAGGAGTTTCACTCCGAGGCGTTGGACACTAAAATTCTGTTATTTCGTTCAATAACAGCCACTGAGTTATTAAAATTATTATGAAAATATGGAAAAATAAAAACAGAGGTTCTTAAATAAAAAATGTTTATTTATATATCTCCCACCTAATTGAATGAGTTCCCCTGCGGGGTTCGAGGCCCAACAAAGTTGAAAGTAAAAAGCGTTTTTGGGGCCGGAGTGGCATTTCCAATTATGCGAAACTCCAAACTGTTAATGAAATGTGTCAGAAACAATTTGGGATAATTTTTCACTTAAAGCTAAAAACAATTTATAATTAGAAAAGGCTCTTAGAGAATAAGAAAGCGGGAGCGAAAACGGAATGATGGCACCTGTTGGGCAATCCGCGAAGTGGCAGGCTTTCCGCTCATTTTGCAATGACAGTGAGCAGGGCGCAGGACAAACAAACACTGATTGCGGATAGACAGGGACGGACTGTGACAGACGGACGGGGAAAACAAAATGGCAACTGCCGGAGACGGAAATACATCGGGCCGTCAAGGAAAATCGGAAGTGGGCTGCAAAAAGCAAAATGAGTTGGCGGGTATTGTGCCCTGGCACCCTGACTCATTATAGTTATTTTTTGCAGCATATTTAAAAAAATTTAATTTATTATAAACATTATCTTTTTGACTGCTGTTTGAGAACAGTTCACTAATATCACAAAAATTGTAGCCCACATTTATTGACTCCGACCTTGTGACTGAAGAAGTACAAGCTTAGAATCAAAACCATTTACACTTTAAAGCGAGTTGAATAACAAATTAACTTGTTAGACAAGTGTAGGAAATTGATTGCCATGCTCTTGTCTTTTGAGAACTTGAAAAAGTAATTGCATTGTCTGACAAAGGCCCTAACAAAACCGTGTGACCTTTTCACTGTTTACAGTCTTAACTTCCATTGCCCTCGGGCGGAAGTCTCAAATTTTTTGACAAAATCCCTGCCTTGTTGACACTTGAACTAGCCTGACAAGGTGCAATGCTTCATCGGACTATTTCGTAATTGGATATTTCGAAACATTTTAAAATGTCGTGCAAATTTCGATGGCAAGATGCAGGGCTCGGTGAAGTGTTTCAATTAAAACTTGCTCAACTTGTTGACATTTATCGAACACAAAGCCCTCAGTTTCGCATCCTTTTCTGTCTAGGGTTTTTGTCAAGCTCAACGCCCCTCAACATCCCTCCACTCAAATATATATATATATACATATAAATGTATAAAACACATCCTGTTCGACTGCATATCCTGGGGACCCCTCAACGTGATGGTAGTTCTTAATGTCATTGTTGAGGAGCTCCCAGCTCAGCGGTAACAGACATCACAGAACAATTCCTCTAGTATCTTCCAAGGAAGTGCACTTGCCAAAGGACATTTTACAGCAATAACCAGAAACAGAGCTCTGCAATCAATGAGTGACTTTCATCGACTGGCTTTGGCTTTGGAAGTTGGTGGTCGGTAAAATGCAGTTAAAAGTCATTTCACTTGTACCGAGAGTTTTCTACTCACAAATTGTTGGCTCCCTTTGTTTATTGACTTGAAAAAAACTGTTCACAAACTTGAATATCACAAAAATAATTTCAAGCAGTAGCACATTAAATGGTTTTTCATTTCCTATAATAAACCCATTTATTTAAATACATTTTTTATGATGCTCTAGTTTATAATACAATTTTTTATTGTTTTATTTAGCTAGCCCTAAAAGGAAAAAAAATGGTTTGCTACTTAAAAAGTCATTGCATATGCGCAAATTTATTTGAACAATAATGACTGCAAACAGGAAAAAATAAATTAATGTTTGGCTCTCATTAACTCAATGACCTCGTCCACCGATGCATTCAACATCTGTTCAACGATTAATTGACCTAATTTAAGAGAGAAAGAAATTAATTCGGCCTGGGTTAATGCCAGAGACCCAAATCCGAATTTAATATGCCACGCAATAAGTTTGACAGACTTTCGTCGGCGAATTTCCAGGGACCTGAGATTTTGTCACACACACGCAAAGTGATTGCGTTTTGTTGCCATCAAAATACACATAAATAATCCAATTAATTGACAACGGCGACACGAGGCATCCTTCTGGGACATCGAATAATTGGTTCACGGCTAAAGGCCCTTCCACTCCCTCAAAGTGGCGGTTTGACGTTTCAGACACAGTTTCAGGTGTATTTGATGGACCCATTCCGCCACCCTCAAGACCCGCACAACATGGCTAATTGGTTGCACAGAAAGGTACATAATTGGCAGAACGGGTAGCGGACCAATCGGACCCGGAGCCAACAGTTTAATTGAATCTGCCCAGGAGGGATCCTTGTAATAAATAAACCATCCCTAGGGAATGGGAAATGTGGCATTTTTGGCTAAAAACTAGTAAAAGTTTCACAAGTACATATATTTACCATTTTACCTATACAAAATGCTGGCCAATTTGTTAACAGCTAATATTGACCCACATTTTTACTAGGCCCTTTTTTTATTGATAGCAACACAATTTTATATCTCCCAATAATCAAGCCCTCTGGGGCATTTTAATCAGCACAAAGCTCAAATTAAGGCAAGCGCGGATAAAAAGTATGGGACAAATTTTCACCACTATCAGTCTACAGTTTTTTTGTAATTTTTTTTCGCATACGCAAATTTAAATTATTAAAACCAAATAAAGCTCACTTGCCGACTTTAACGGTTGAATTGAAGTCCAAAGTCATCGAACCGATAAATGCGAGTTCATAATTCTTCGCATTGCATTTTGTAATTAAGTGCACAAATATTTATGCTTGTCTTTGGGGGATGATATTTTTTCGCAATAAATGCATAATTAGCGCCTGCTCTTTTGTATAATGTATTTTAATAAACTTTCGATGTGCGCCTTAAATAAATATCATACAATGCATTGACCTCAGTAGCCTTGATTAAAATTAATGTACATCAGTACCAGCCGTAAAAGTCGATATATTCGAATGCGTTTTATAGGCCATGGCCTGGGCTTTGTACATCGGCCATCCTTACTGGGCTTTTTGCATCAATGTATATATTATATATTCCTGCTGTTTTTTGCCCGCCACTCTTAACGTCGTGTGTGAACGGAAAACCCGCACCCGAAATGTGAGAATTCATTCAATTGCAATTGCAAATTTGTGTCACTGAACTGTGAAACAATAAAGATTATCCGTGACGGAGATGAGAAAGCAATGTATGACCGGGTTTCGATTACCAATTTAAATATCAGTTGGTTCGACTTACGGAGAAAGAAAACCAAAAAAGGATTTATCTCAATGGAAGGCTTAAGCGATTCTAGAAGAGCCATCGGAAAGCAAAGGATCGGGGCTAATGAGAATGAAATTAAAACAAACACGTGTATGGTTAATGCCAGACCTGAATTAATCGCAAATGAAGAAGCCACAAAAATCTGGTTGTGCATCCGTTGACATTGTCTGATTAAGAGTGGATTGAAGTGGTTCGGCTGATTGAAGAGTTCTTTGTGTTTTCTGGGCCATTGTTTGCATTGGCCTGGACCCAGGTCAGCATTGGGATTGGCTTTCAATCCGATTGGCTAAGTTGTGTCTGGACTGGCTGTTTGCATGGCACTCAACTACTTTGCAGATTTGCTTGCCCTGCCTATATGCCGGCATATTTAATTAGCAGCAGTCTCACAAAATTGCCCGACATCTGACAAATTATGCCAATGTGCCTCGCCTTGTCCGTGTGTCCTTGTGTCCGAGCGACAGGACTCGGACACTAATGCACTCGGCCTAAATAATTTAACATTCATTGTCTCTTTCCAGCGTTTCCCGCACCCTGCTTGTGTGTTTTCAACGAGTTTTCAGTGCGTAAATAAAACAGAGGCTGCTCGATGCTTAGTTTGCACATTGCCACTCGCATCACACACTGCGTATACGCAATTTACATTGCATTTGAGAATGCCCCCAGGAACTTTCAACACCGCAACACACGCACACACAATGCCAAGTGCCAGCTGTTGTCTATTAAACGTCAATTCCAATTTGTATATGGCTTAAAAATTGCAATTGCAAAACCTTGCCAATCAGGCAGGCGGTGGTGAGAAAATCCCTTAGTTCCACAAATATTTGACATTTTCCATTGCCTACTTGCATTGTTTGTTCGATTTCAGGTAAATGAAATGCCCAAAAGTCCCAAGGCCCGCCCTTCTGCATTCGGCATTCGATTTCGTAAGTGTCATTATTTAATTATAACTTAAGCCGCAGCCCAGCTGACAAAATACCTGCGTCATGAAATTCCGCTCAATTGCATTTCCCGAAAATAAACACCTGTCATTTTGGTGGGCGGATGTGGATGTGGATGGGTATGTCAGTGGCAAGGAAAGTGCAGTACAAATTATTTCCAGCAAGCGACAAGCTTGTTGAATTTAATCAAAATGCAAACTTACTTGTAAAGTAAATACTTGTCTTTTTCCGGTATGTCAGGGAAATGTCTGCGAATGTATGTGCTTCATTTATTTAATTTCATGTGTATGAGTTGCAATCCAGTAATGTTGTCGGCAGGTGCAAATTGAATTTATTAAATTATCGTTTTGTCTGGCCTAAGCTGGTTCTCAAGGAAATTTATGACTGCTGCCTGTAGTGCAAAGGCATTTAAAAATGATTTATTTCGAACTTCTATTAGACTAACGAACTCATAAAATAAACCAAAGAAAATTCCTAATCAAAGAAGTAATCGTTTTCAATATATTTAGTTGTCAACTTCATACGCTCAAATGGTCGTGAAATAAGTTTTATCTGGAAATAAACAATTTTAAAGCTTTCACAATAATCTTTATGTTCAAATGCCTACCTGATTCTCTGTCATATTGGGTGCAGTCATCATCTGCAATCAAGCAATTGTTTTAAAGGGCTTATTTTACTGGTAAAATACTTACCTCTTTCTCTGTCTCGTGTGTTGCCCACTTTAGGTTAAGAATAAATTGTAAATCCTCCTGCATGTCTGGATCTCTGTTGGCTAAAACCGTGCCCTGAAGACTTTTTAAAAACTTTTTGGTTATTCCGTTGGCGGGTACTTTGATCTGAAACGAACTCAGTTTTCGACAGTTCTGTAGAAGGGGTCCTAGGCATCTTGGATAGTAAATATCTTTGGGATGGTGTTCCGAAAGCACCTCAATTTCCTCTAGATCTTTCAGCTGAGCCAGGGGCAGAATGTATACGAATTTTTGAAATAGGCAAGAGATTTTTCTTAATGAACTAAGGGTAACCAAAGCTTGAACCACCGATTGCGTTAGGTATGTGTCTTTGGAGTTTTCAAAGATTGTAAAGGGCGAACTTATATAAATCTCACGCAGTGTTTGCAAGTTGTGTGTCGCTAGTTTTAGGAAAAGGCTACAGGTTGGCATGTTGATAGACAATAACTTAAAAGAGCGCATATTTTTGACTAAGGGAAGAGGCAACTCCTTTTTAACGTATTCTTTATCGTACATGATCTTTAAACTTCGTTTTTTTGGATCCAGGTCAATGTCGCACGCTTCGCTTTTGATCTTTACACCGAGCTCCAAAAACAAATGCAATGTCGATTCCATTGACACGATCATTTCGACAGGGAGTCCAAGACTTTTAAGATTCTCCAGTCGCAGAAAAGGTTCAAAGTTAACAAATCGAAAAATTTGCCCATCCCTTGTGAAAATACTTAGGTGTCCCCGGGAAGAAAAGAACATTTTCGTGTCAAAACTAGAGACTGTCACTTGTTTACTCAGTAAGTCTGCAATATCCTCCGAAACTAAGTGACCCTTATTTCGCATTGTCAATCGGTTGAGTGTTGGATGCCCTTTTAGGTGTCTTATGCTTCTGGGATCGCAAAAGCCGCATTCCAACATTCTTAGACCTTTAATGTTTGCAATAACCTGCACCATTTCGTCATCAATGTCGAATTTTAAGCATAATTGTATTAGTTTTGATTTTTTCTTTTCGCTGAATGCTTTGAGAAGTTGGAGTTCCGGTATGGATCGATGTAAGTCTGATACTCCTGTTACTAGGGAATCATATTCGGTGTCCATTCTGGGTCGTTTTGTTGTAAAATCCTCATCCATTTCCAAGTCCTGTGGCTTATGCCAATCTTCCGCTTCGTCTAAATAAAAATGCACTTCATCAATAGTCGGTTTCCAATCGATTTCTAACTGCGTGAGCTTATTCAAAAGTGCGAGCCCGAAGTAACTATTATCCGTTACATTATCATTTAGCAGGAATTTCAGTTGCTTTAGATTTGGACAGTGTCGAACGATTTGTGTTAGCTTTCCATGATCGGAAAACCGATTTACATTCACTTCCAAAGTAATTAAAGAAGGATTATTTGAGCAGAAATCTTCCAGGTCGATCATCTCAAAATATGCATTTAAGCTCAATTTGGAAATATTGCGAAACAGCCCTAGGTTTCCGATCCGATGATCTGCAATATTAGCAATATATTAGTGGGAAACAATTTATGTAGACTAAGAATATATTTGCCTCCAATATCCACAATAATCTCCTTGAATTTTGGAATTTTATACGGGTTCAACACTATGCGGTCTGCTTTGCCCTGAAGAGCCCTTACTATCTCTTCAAATATACTCTCGTGGGTGCTGATAAACTTCTGAGTATTATAGCTTAGCTCAATGGTTTTAAGAAGGGGATTCCCCATCATTGCCCCAATATAAATGTCCATGTACCGGTCTCTCTTTTGCTTTGTGGCTCTTTTTAGAGTTTCGTGGATCTCAATAAACTTGACCGTCAGATTTTTGTGGGGCACCACATGCAGAAGATCTAGTTCCAAGCGACGATACATCGATTTGGACCAATCCCAAACGATGCGTCGAAATATCTTGCAGGTGACAGCCAAATTAAAGATGTCAGCATATTTAATGGCGTCCACGGATTCATTGCCATTCTGAATTTCACAGTTTGTCTTCATGTAGTCCAATATGCGGAACAGGTCATAGTGACTGATATCGGTTATAGTCGTCATGGAATATGCACATACATATGTATATATTATTCACCAGTGCCAAACGATCGCAACAGCACGTCCGATTCGCGCAGTATTGGACAGTACACTGCCTTTAATACTCTGAGAGAATTATACTGGAATGCCAATATAAGCTTACCCTGTAATTGTTGGGTGACTTGGGCTTTCCGTTTGCTGGATTTTAATAATAAAGGCTTATCTACTGCGCAACAGCTTTTAAAGAACTTTTATTATTTTAGTATGCTTAATTGTAGTTGGCACCTTCACCATTATCAATATCATAAGTCTAAAGATTAATGTAATTTTTCACAGAGGGTACTTTTCCTTCGACTACGTATACATACATTTTTTTATAATCTCACTGATAGCGTCACCAAACAAAAAAGCTTGCGGCTTACATATATGTGTAAACACATGTAAACGTATCCACATTCGGGTGGACCTAAGTAATACAAACCAACGCATCAACAAAAATAATTATAAAATTAAATCCGACAGCCATGACCTATTGAAGACCTTATAAAACATTATTCTAGTGAAGTAAGTAAGATAATGTAGTGCTCGTTATGCTGATGAACCGGCGGACATCATTAGATAAAAGTTGTGGGCATCGCTGGGATTTATGATCTTCGCTGCTTGTTTTGTATGAAAACTTAAAGCGCAGTTTGAGTTTGTTTAAAGTAGTTGCCGCGGCCAAGTGAAACTGGCAGCTGCACTTAATTTGCAGTCAGCTCATTTGTTTTGCCAACCACCCACCGCAAGACACAGGAAGCCAGTATTTTTCTCTTCTTCTTATCCCTTTTTATCCTGTTTTTTTTCTTCCTCCTTACATCTCTATCTTACGGATGGAATATTACACAAAAAAAAATCAAAAATGAAGGGAAAACTGTAGAAGCCGTTACTTCTTGTTGTCCTATCCCCCGACAAATCCTTCCGTTCCGCGTAGTTTTGTGGTGGGTGCGTGTAATCTACTCAAAGCAAATAAATTTTTAATGCTGACTAATGTAGAAAATGTGAGCGGAAATTTACCTGGAAAACTGTAAGAGACCTTGGCATCAACTTGCGCATTTTTACCCCAACCAGTCGGCCTTATAAAAGCATCCTTCGTCCTCCGTTGGTGCAATTTGCAACAGGATTTTACAAATTGAATAAGAAGTCCTGCCGCCTGCATATTTACTTAGGGTTAAAAAATCATTTTTAAAAGTTAGTCTTAAGTTGCAGTCTATTATCTTACACCTGACAGTTTAGAAAGGCATTCATAAAAACAGTTCAACTAATTGCAAATGTCAAAAAACTCATAATGTTTGAGCATCGATAGCACTTGCAATTATGAAAGCCAACACAAAGCGCAACAAATTGGCGAAAATGGTGAGTCATTAAAAATAATTCAAAACAAGCATCACAGAAAAGTTTTACACCAAAAAACTTGAAGACATTTTAAATGCGAAAATAACTGAGACAATGGCTTGGCAAAGGGGGTTGGTGTTGAAAATTGCAAGGCAGCAGCAGTCGCAGCAACAAATTGGCAAAATTCATAACGAAGCAAATAGGACCAGGGGCGCAGCAATAAAGATTTCAATCTTTGATAATATAGTTTATTAAAAGTGCATTTAAAAATCACCCATTTTTTATAAACGTAAGTAATGTCTGAGACATTCTTAAATCCTTCAATCAAAATTCCTGAATTGGTTAGTGGGTAAATTTTTTTGTATATAAGCTAGAATATTATTTAATATAAATTCCAATGTAAACTGAAAATGTTGAACACTGCTACTGACTGATGTCAAACCAACTTGTTTAATATAAAAGCAAAATTTAAACAAATTACTTACTTAAATACTTTTAGTTTTAAAATACTTAAATTTAATAGTTTTGTATTTTTTTGACACAGAGTTAAACCTTAAGTTTGGTATCCAACGACGCCCATGACCAGAAATGGCCAAACAAACCCCGCAAATGGCTCGAAACAGTCGCAAGTGACAACGAGCTAAGGACGCCCGAAGGATGCTGCTGTTGCTCCCTTTGCAGTTGTTTTAGTTGGTAATGAAAGCGACTGATGTCCAGGGGGCGGGAGGTGATGGGAACTGGCCAAACATTAACGAGCATCAGCGAAAAACTTGCAACTTGCAGACGCCTGCAACTGAATCAAGTTTTGCAGCAGGACGGGGCCGCATTGCATTGTTTGCGAAATGCTTCGAGTAAATTATGCAGAATTGCTGCAGAACAGCCAAAGCCGAAGCAAAAGTTAAGCGCCCAACAAAATGGAATTTACATTGCCTTTCACAACTTGCTCGCCAATGTCTTTGTTGCCATTGTGTACTGTTTTGTATTTGCGAGGGTTTTTAATAAACTTAATAACTTTGCAATTTGTTGCTGCAATCAGTGCCAGGGAGCCAGATGTTCCCGTCATGCAAATGGCCAAAAGGTTCGGACACTTCAAAAGCGGAGACGTCGGAAATTGCCCGAGGCACCACATGGCGTATACTTAATTTGCAAGCGCATTATGCAGGCGGCACGTGCCAATTAATAAAATAAATTCCCAAACAACGCAGTAAACTCATAAATTGCGATGAAGGGGAAGTTTCCAATTCCTTTTAATTCACTTAAAACGTTCGGGTCATCCCAAATATTATATTTGCGGTAAACCTGGACTCCGGGCTCTTTAAAAATGCATGTCCAGTCCCATATCAACCGCCGAATCCTGAATCGATTCTGTAGAAGAGTCCTGGCACTGAGCTGAAGCACGAAGCAGATGTTGTTGGCGGCGGGTCATTGAATAAACAAACATCTGTGGCAAGTGAGGTTAGGACACAAATTGAATTTGCGCCCTAAAAGAGCATAACAAATAGACGACACGCATACGCCGTGTGGTACGCAAAGCCACAAAACCCACATGCATGTCAGTGGATAACCAAGACACTGGACAGCACAAAAAATCACTCACTCACTCATCCACTCATCCACTCATCCAATCGCTCACCTGCAGTGATGGGAAACGTCCTGGTATTTGTACCTGGTTACCAAGTTGGGTACAGACTCACAGTTTGTAAGGGTATATTTAATTTAAATTAAATTTAATTTCACATAGTGTACTAAGAATTTTAAAAGGCTTAATTTAATACGAAGATAAATAGTTTATTTCATTAGCTGCACAAACAATATTTTAAGAAAGTTCTAACAACAACATTCATATAATTGTATTATTTTTTGTATTTTTTATAAATAATTTTTTATAAATATAATATCCATTTTTGGCTTTAGAAATTATTAAAAACTTCATTTACGGAATGTGGAACTTAACTGAGAATTACAAATTAAAGTGTGTTTTGGCAGTTTAAATTTACTATTGATCGTTTTCAAAGGCTAGTTCATCCTTGACCACAACTAGCCAATTTAAGGTACCTTTTCATCACTGTTTACCTGACGGCCACATTCATTCAGCCATGATGACGCTTAGACATTTTTGGCATGCGTGGCGCGTGACAGCGAATGGCAAAAACAGGTCCGCAACAAGGACGCATCTGCTGCTACTTCTGGCCTGCCCAAATCCCAACTCAAACGCTCACCCACATGGCGACATCATCATCACCGCCATAGTCATCATCATCATCTCCATGGCCATGGCGATGGCGATGGCGTCTGGATAATGGCTACCCCGGAGATGACAGTTAACAGTTGCCGAGCTGCCCAACACAGCACCAGGTAAATAAATCAAACAAAAATGGCGACTTTCGGCTACGTGACGGGCGAACTGAAATAGCCAAAATAAACTCGTATATAGACGACAAAAGTCACGGAGGCTCAATAGCTTGACTGATTATCGTCCAGCGAGTATGTAGTACCTCCAAGTTGGATGTGGGTGACCCGCCGAGATGTGCGTGACACAAATTGCGACCCAGACACAGAAACAGAAACAGAATGAGACCCTCTGACGCGCAGTCAGTATGCTGACAAGTGCTTCCTGTAAGTTGTCTGTCGGCGTCCATCATTGAACTCCATAGACGAACAGACGAGGTTAGGCGGCGAACAGCTGGCCAATAGCAACAGTTAAGTCGATTTTGACACATGAAGCGGAGTTCGTTTGGCCGAAATCAATAATGTCTAGTGGAAAGTCCTTAGAAAAGCAGGAAATGTCATGCGGAGAATTGATTTGGTTCGACTGCAAGGAGAATAATTTGTCATGTGAAAGACATTCACGGATATTAGGAACGTTTTCTTTTCTTTTACTGAAAGTTTAACATCAATCTAGAAAACAATTTAATTCATAAATTCTTTAAATGAAAATTTGTGAAGCATAGTTTATTCCTAAGCTGCAAAGCCCCTTTAAAAAAATTTAATTGAGTTTAATGCAAACATATTTAATTTTTATTTTACTAATAAGAAAGCAACAATACTACCCATATATAATTTACATGAAATAAAAACTTTATTTTATTTTATTTTATGTTATAAAAGGACTTTAAAAGACCAATCCAAACCACTATTTTTAAAAACTCATCGCCTGTAAATGCAATAAAATCACTTAAAGTTTGAGAGCGCATTCAACTGAAAGCCGTAAAATAGAATGGCTCGCTGAATTTTTGAATGATGTGTATTATTTATGACACTGCCGAGCTGTGTGGTCCTCTTGTTTGTGTGACCTCACCTGACCCACTGAACCAGGTGACCCCGATCGGCGGCCCCACCCTGGGAAAGCGGGTCTCCATCTGTGAATGCCGCACAATTGAATATATTATGGAATATATATTGCGGCATATATTAGACTACCAGTGGATTGTGGTCCGTGGTCCGTGGTCCATGCAGCATTTTCCGTACGTGGTGGACACTACGGTGCTGTGTGCTTTATGGTGATCACTCAATTTGAATTAATTTGCGGCTGTCATGCCAACCTTAAATTAGTTTGCAGCGATTTGCATAAACACAAGTGGAAACTTTGCGGGAGTCTCGGCATTTGACGGGATTTTGATTGGATTGCCGCAGAGCAGGAAATTGTAATGCTGCTTATTAGTTCAAAAAAAAAAAGCCATATTCCCAATTTTATAATTCTCTTCACTTCCTAATTAAA